CAAAGAACTGGAATTCAGGTTTTCTGTTTAACATATTATCATATGTTTATAGTAATATTCAAAATTCAAAATATGAAGCATGCCAGTGGGCCACTTGTGTATAAGTTAAACTGAGAAATACTTGTTAGCACTATAGGATTTAAGTGTAACTTTGCAAAATCAAAGCCAAGATAAAATTACTCTGGCTTTTCTAGGTGTAAAAAGGCATTTGTGGCAGGGCACTGGTGGCTCATGCTTGTAATCCTAGCTACTCAGGAGGTTGAGATCTGAGGATCACAGTTCAAAGCCAGCCCGGGCAAGAAAAGTTAGTGAGACTCTTATCTCTAATGAACCGCTTAGAAGACCAGAAGTGGCGCTGTGGCTCAAGTGGTAGAGTGCTAGCCTTGAGCTGAAGAGCTGGGGGGACAGTGCCCAGGCCCAGAGTTCAAGCCCCACGACTGACCAAAAATTTAAAAAAGGCATTTGTGTATGGGGTGAGTGAAGATCTATAAATAAATTTGTGTATGTGGCATGATATTAACTAAGGCTAAAAGAAATCATTAATGAGATAATAATTTCATTAATTAGCTCTGTAAACAAACTAGTAAGATTAGGATAAGGAAGGGTTATTATAGGCAGAAAAACAAAAATCAAATGAACAGAAAAGCAAAAAAAAGACCATTGAATATGCATACTTAGCAAGTAAGGATTAGCAATAGATGTACACTCTTAAAGAAGAAGTACTTTTTGTTTTAACATATTTTAATACACTATGAACACAGAAAACTTCTCATTGAGACATCTGTGAAGTTGACTCAGCTTGCACATTGTAACTTGCTGCTACAAAAGGCCTTACCTTTGTCAAGCAAGAAGTCTTTAGTGCTCTCAAATGAAACCAAGATTGGATCTTCATTCCTTCTTAACTAATTCACATTGTCACAATTCTTTGAGAATAAAATATTGGCATAGAGAAGGACATTAGCGATTTTATCTTAATTCATGAGCTACATATCATAGGTATACTTTTAAATGTTACTTATAAATAATATAATGTTTTGAAGTATTATAATTTTCTTTTCATGACTGTCTTACTACTGTTTTCTTTCAACCATAATGAAGTTGCCTTAACAATACCAACAATATAACATATGGGAAAATATGAAAGTGATATCCACACTCATTGAATTAATGCATGCAGATATGAAATGTTCATACTGGCATTTTACACACATGTGTACATAGTCAACCTTCTTTTTTCCTGTTTAACTTCATTTGGATTTTTAATACTTTTACCTTAAGAAGGATTGGGCAATATAATATGACATTGTGTAAAATTATAACTTCAAAATTCTTATATTTACATATACTTTTCTTTCTATTATCTAGGATCTGCTAGATTTATTGTTTAATTGTACATTGCAGTATCATGGTGTTATTAGCTTAGTGATATGATTAAAAAAGATTTAACTAGTACTTTGAGTACTCTTCATTGGATACAAGAAAAGCAAACTTTTATTAAACAGTGAGAAAGTGCTACCTACTTTTTTCATTCTTAAGCTAGTAAGTATAGAAGATAACCATAAACAACAGTACTGTAACAACAGGGTCTTTTACTTTGGTAGAACTTAATGTTTATTGCTTTTTCTTTCTTTTTCTTGAGTATAGGCCTAGTTGTTTGATATTTACCTAAAACTGTCATCTGAAAATCTTGTTTGTTTTGTGGCAGAGATCATTATATTTTGAAGTGACTTTTTTGAGAACAACAATTTTCACTTGAAAGAAAATTTACAATTCTTTTTACCACAAATGGACCTTAGATTTTCAGTCTTTAAAATTATATTTAATTATAGTCTAATGAAGTTGTGAATTATAAAGGAATGTGATTTAAGTATGTTATTTTAGGTATGACCTCTTTAAGTAGATACAAAAATAGAATGTGTGTCTTCCAATAGTTATGTAAATTCCTGGGTTGGACATAACAGTAAGTCTCTGTTACTATGGCATGCCTTGGTCCAAGGCAAGTGTTGTAAGACATACCAGGACTAATGCTTAGTACTCATAAATCCTCTTTAGAAGATTCACTTATTCAAATATTGATATACCATTTGTTAACTTCTATGTTAACAATATTATTTTAACATTAATTATTGACATATAAAATAATCAAAGGTGAGATACAGTTCAGTTGCAGGGTCCTTATCCAGCATGTGCAAGTCCTGGATTCTGAAAACAACACACATACACACACACACACACATACTCACACACACACGTATGCACACAAAGTCTTCCTTTTTGTCCATACATAATTTAGTACAAGTATATCTTCTAAGACCATAAAAGGATCTATCAGTTCAATTGAATTCTACCCATATAGTTCAGGAAGATAAAACCTAGGTATAGGTTTACTTACAGCGGTCATTAAATTATTTATTTAAAAAGTCTCAAATACAACTGTAAGATTTATTTTGGATAGTTTAAGGATAAAGGAATGTTAACATATTTTGATTAACACAAACCCTAAAAGAAAATGTGCTGCTAATACTATAATTACTGGCAAAAACTTGGGGCAAAATAAATTCCTGCAATATAATCAGCTTTGTGTACATAAAATATGTCTTTATCTTCTTATATTACAAAAGAAACCAGCACAAAATTAGCCATTTAGAATACCTTTTATTCATTCTCACTTCTACATTTTGGAAGTCCATCCTCCTATGACAGGGATCTTGCATAGGGTTTCAGGAGGTTAACGTCAATCAATCAGACTAGACATGGTCTCTTTGGAGACCATGGGTGGTAGGGGAATCTAACTCTTGAGTTCCTTCAGGCTTCCAGGTTTAGGATGTAGCCCCCACATCTCTCCACTGCTAGCAGAGTGATAAGATAGTATAATCTTAGTTTCTGAAGTTTGTGAATCCTCTGACCTGTGCCTCCTGCATTTTTCAAGTCAGTAACAATCTTTGTACTGTTGAATACTTCTCATTTTGTGATTTCTGTGAGTTTAAGTTGCCCTGAAATTATTTCATGGGCCTGATTGATTCGGTCAGGTTCACCTTAACTAATTAACTAGAATCTACCAATCTGTTTATGAAGCAATAATATCACATGTACAAGGGATAAGTTTAAGGATGTACAAGGTTAAGGACACTGAGAGTCATCTTATACTCCTTCCTACCACAGAGCGATTAAACTCAATTGTGTGCAAGCAGATCGGATTAACATCAGGAAATAAGCAAAAAGCAATTAGCTTATGGTGAATGAAATAAATAGAAAAGAGGAAATGGTAGACAATTTTAATAGAAAAAAGAAGAGAAGAAAAATGTGAACTTAATTCTAAAATGTGGTGCTTAGTAGGCCTTAATAATTAAGTCTGCATTATATAGGTTTCATGGACATATCCAGAAGGAGCGCATAAAATGAAATTTGTCTTAGTGAAAGGCTATGCCTAAGTATGTTGAGAAAGGAGCAAATGAAAGGTGTTAATAATATTATTCTTGCTATTCTTTAATCTTGCCACAAACACAGGGCTCAGTGTCATGTGGGATCTCTCAGGATTAGGAGCTGTTCTGGATGAAACTGTTATTAGGATGTAGAAGTTTCACAAAAGTATTAACTCCTGCTGTGGACCTTGCTTCATGGGTTCAGGGTGCAGTTTGAGGCTTTTGAAAATTTCTTATAAATTTAATGATGGTTGGTTAAAACAATTTTTCATTTTATTGGAGTTTATCTTGTTTAAATGGAATTCCCTGGGGTAAAGACTGGAACAGTCTTATTTCTTAGTGTCTCTAGAGCAGATGAATGATGACATTTCCTCTCATTAACTTTCAACTGGGTAGGTTGACTGGGTAGGAAGACTGTTTTCACAGCAATATGCATTCACCTTTTCCTTCTGTTATTTGCCCAATATTCTATTCAAAAGAGATAGGTATTATTAAGGACTTATTTTAACAGGTATAAAAATACTTCATTGTACAGATGCTAAAATATTCCATTCTAGTGAGTGCCAGAGCCTGTAATCTTTCCTACTCCAGATGCTGAGATCTGGAGTTTATGGTTGGAAAATCAGCCCTAGAAAAAACTCCTATGACACTGTATCCAAAATAGTCACCAAAAAATGGGCTGGAGTCATGGCTGAAGGGGTGACATTCCAACTAAGGAAGGAAGTTGAAGGAACAGGAGACCGTGAGGCCAAGCAAATAAAGCATACCAATAAATAAATAAGTAAATTCCATTTTAAGCAATCTAGGAAGCTGTTTTGTTCTGTATTTTCCCTTGGCATATTCAGAATTCATATTAACATAATAAGGCACTGAGAAGACCTGAAATTTGTCAGTAACCATAAAACAAGAAATTAAGACTATGGCTTTGGTCTCACTTTACTTTTTTAAGTCTTGTAAGATTTGAGGTCATTTAATAATAAAATTGGAATTTATGTTAAAACTTAGAGCTTGTATCAAATATAACTTAATACAAAATTGAATTGTGTGTCCACATGAGAAGCTGTGGATTGTCTTATTCACCTAGTTTCTAACGTATTAAGAATAAAAAGATACAAGGCTAAAAATGATGATTGACATTTCAAATTTAATGAATTTGAGGAGTTTGTCACCTTCTCTTGTATTATTCCACTTCTGCTCTTTTTATCCTCATTTCTTTTTCTTCAGCTCTCTCAGCTATTGTCACATGAAATTAGTGGAATCCTTTAGATCATTAATTAGCTTTTATGATTAGGAAATTTAAGTCATTACTTGTATTTTTAAAAATAAAATAAAAAATTTATTAGGTATCCAAAGGAGTTGGTTATTCATAATTCAGTGTTGGACTTAAAAATACAATTTTTCCTGTATTCTTTCAAGTATAAATATATATAAGTTTTTGACAACAGTGGTGCTTGGTTGATTATGCTATTCATCTACTTATTTGGGGTAAATATGAAATATAAAATATACTTACTTTAAATGTGTAAATTTTGAAATGTGTGTTCTGAAACTGTTCTGATGTGTCTATTTTTGCTTTAGGTGTTCAAGATCCCCAGCATGAGAGGGTTATTACTGTGTCTTCAAATGGGAGTATTCACAGCCCAAGGTTTCCTCACACATATCCAAGAAATATGGTCCTGGTATGGAGATTAGTGACAGCTGAGAACATGTGGATACAGCTTACATTTGATGAACGGTTTGGATTAGAAGACCCAGAAGATGATATTTGCAAGTAAGTCATCCAACCAAGGATAAAGCTACTGTTGTCTTTCAAGTTGCTTCATTAATGTAATTAGAAACATGATACTTTGTTTCTTTGATAATGCAAGATAGTTTATGAGCTTATAGAAGCATATAGCTTATATTGTCTTCCTTTTAACCTAGAAGATAGCTGGGTGCCAGTGGCTCAAACCTATAACCCTAGCTACTCAGGAGGCTGAGATGTGGAGAATTGCAATAAGGTCAGTCCAGGCAGAAAGTCCATGAGACTCCCTAATATAACTATGTGAAAGCTTTGTTGGATATATGGCTCAAGTAGTAGATTCCCAACTTAATAACAAAATTATTGAGTTAATATTCCACTACTGCCCAAACAACCAGGACACATACTATTTTTACTAAATATTTTGTTTTATCTTAAATCATAAGATAAATACGTATTCATAAGTGATCTTTACTTTCTGTCTTCTAAAATTTTCTGAGAAAATTTTGGTAAGAAGTGCAGATAGAGTAAGTAATACCATTTAAATAAGAAATAGAATATTGAAAAGTTAAAGGAATGTAGTTGGGGCTGTAAATATGTTACCTTAGTACTAAAAATTACACACTTGTGCTTCATGCCAGCCAAATCATTAAGATGATAAGGTATTTTTAGAAATCTGTGTGTATCTATAACTATGTGTTTTACATAGCTGGAGATATGGAAGCATATCCACACAGAGGACCAAAATGTTTGACTATGACAGGAAATTATGCATTACCTTACTTATGTAACTGAAACACCTCTGTATATTACCTTGACAAAAAATTAATTAAAAAGTTAAAAAAAAAAGACAAAGAAAAAGAAATTCAGGGCTGAGACCAGAGTCAAATCTGCCCCTCCAGGTGGGAATCCAAAGTCAGCTGGAATATTTCACCCACACACAAGATCACCTACTGTATGTCATATAAACAGTACCCTCAATTCCTGGGGGAATACAGTTGTCAAGGTTGGGTGGTCTTTTAGAAGATTTTTCATTCCAGGGATACTTGTGTATTATGAAAATATTTTATGTAAATTTCTTTACAAGATTCTTTACTTTCTCTTTGATATACAAGTTGAAAGAGAATTTTTATTTTGTCCTTGTAAACAGATCAGTATTTCAGTACAGATTAAATAAACTTTGTACTTGCTGTCATTGGGTTTTCTCTTTAGTATCTATATACTTAGTCTCAGGTTGTCTTTTTCACAATATTTATTATTTCAGACCTACAGAAATAGGCACTATTCTAGCTCTCTTTAGAAGACTGTGCTATTCAATTCTTTTTGGGGAGGGGGTCCGGGCGTGGGGCCTGAACTCTGGGCCTGGGTGCTGTACCTCAGCTCTTCAGCTCAAGGCTAGCACTCCCACTTGAGCCACAGCACCACTTCCGGCTTTTTTCTTTTTGCTTATGTGGTGCTAAGGAATTGAACCCAGGGACTCAAGCATGCAAGGCAAGCACTTTACCACTGGGCCACCTTCCCAGCCCTGTGCTATTCAATTCTTAAGGGACTCAAGAAGTGGAGTGAATAGCATTTATATTGTGTACTGAAACATGGAAACACTCATTTTTTTCTAACCATTACTTAAGAAGACTTTCACCATACTGTACTATACCTCTTCTTTTATGAACAAAATTCACTTTTCTTGTAGGAAAATGCAAAAGGTCTAAGATTTATCAACTTTACAAAGGAACAAATTTCATGAATGTTGATAGTTTTTTGAATAATAGAAGGACTGTATCATTCCTCTATGTCTCTGCCTCTGTCTCTGTCTCTCTCTCTCTCTCTCTCTCTTTCTCTCTCTCTCATATCTATCTGCCAGTACCAGAGTCTGAATGGAGGGCCTTGGGAAATTTGGCTTATTTACTCACAACTGGCACCTTATCACTAAAGCCACACCTGCAGTATAGATTTCTGCTAGTTAATTGGAGATGGAATCTCACAGACTTCTGCCTAGGCTTGCTTCAGTTTCATTGAGTTTCCTGAGTAGCTAGGATTACAGATGTAAGACACCTATGCCTTGTTGAAAAATGACTTTCTTATAACAAGAGCAGTAGCTAGAATCTTAGCACTTTTGTACCTTTACACTGTGACTGTTTTTCTGCAGGCAGTAGTAGGAGAGCTTGTGTATCATCTGCATACCTAATGTACTATGCTCCAGAAGAGAGAAGATATGTGCATCTGTATACATATATTCACATCCATATGTATGTATGTGCAGTGTATATCTCAGTTAATGGTAAAGTTAAACTGTCATCATGAATGATAGCATGTGACTTAACTTTAGGAAAGTGACTTTTTAAATTGTGTTTAACTGTTTTCCAGTTCATCCTTGATTATACCTCATTTCTGCAAATCTAATTATTATCTTGAGTTTTTGAAGTTGTCCTCCTAACTACACCTGTAGTTTTCCGTCACTTCTTTCTCTATGACTATCCTACTGATATTAATGTAGTTTTTCCTGTTTAAAATATGTATCAGTGTTTTAACTTTTGTTTCCTTCTGAGACTTAAGGTTTATTTCAAACAAGCAAAATCCAATAGTGTTATATGTTCAAAAGTTTATGTTGTGGGTTGCAAGGTTTGAGCCTGTAATTCTAGTTATCTGGGCGCCTGACAGTGGGATTGTGATTTGAGACTATCCTGGGCAGAAGGTTTGAGAGATTTCTTCGCAAGTCACTTGACTAGTATCCTAAGCTACAGGGAAAGCTAAGCTTTGGAGAATCTGGTTCCCGGTCAGCATGGGAAGAAAAGTTCTTGAGACTCACTGTCAATGGGGAGAAGCTTCCCAATAAGGTGAAACTTACAGCCAAATGGATTATAGTCCAGCTGTGCATAATGAAAGTGAACTATCTCAAAAATGACTATTGGAAAGTGAGGCTGCAGGGCTGACTTAGTACAGTCAGCCTTGTGAGTGGGAGACTGAGTTTAAACCCCAGAACAGGCAATCAATCAATCAATCAATCAATCAAAGATGATGCAGATAGCTTAGATCCTTTTTTCTTTTATTTCCAATGCTCCAGTGTATAATGTGTGTGCTAAGAAAGTGCTCCAACACAGTGTAAGACATCCAGTTCCTAGTCAACTTTTTGTCTCACCTTCTCAATGTATATTGGCTTTTCTCAGTTCTTTTGTACCCTGACAAGCTTTGATTCCATGTGTTAGAGTGCTATGAGATTATACTTTGTTCATTTGAATTTGTTTTTCTAATTATTAGTGAGGTTGGGATATTTTCATGTTTATTAACATCTTCCATCTTCTCTTTGACTATTTGAATTTTGCCTTTATTATTTAAGCCTTTGATCTACTGAAATTTGTTCTCTGTGTCTCTGAAGTTTGTCATTAGGGTATTCAGTTGTGGTGTCCCATTTCTTTTTTTTTAATTTCTTTCAAATAAGATTTTTTTAATTTTTATTTTTTATTGTGAAAATACCGTACAGAGGGGTTACAATTACATGGGCAAGGTAATGAGTACATTTCTTATCAAGCATTGTTGCCTCCTCCTTTGTTTCCCCTTCTCATCCCTTCCCATCCACCCCATTCTGCACCCTCCCCCCAACACCCCCTCCTGTCCCTGCCCCAGCCAAAGTTGTAATGTTCGTTTTTCTACATAACATCTTGTACATCTCATTGTTGCACCTTATCCCTATTTAACCGGTTTGTTTTTTCCCTTCCCCTCCACTAATTATACCAACATCAAATACAGTGAAAGCACAGGTTATACTGTGGGGAAGGGGCATACAAAGCAACAAAGAAATCATCTTATAACTACGTTATAAAACAATCGCAAGAAAGAAAAAAAACATTTGAATCCTTATCTTGGGGTTCATTTCACCTAACATCAACTTATCTGACCTTTTCTGCTTGTCTCAGACATATACTAGTTATTACAAATAAGGGAAACCATGGAACATATGTTTCTTTGGGCCTGGCTTACTTCACTTAATAGAATTTTTTCCAAGTCTTTCCATTTCCTAACAAATGGGGCAATGTCATTCTTTCTGATGGAGGCATAGAATTCCATTGTGTATATACCACATTTTCTTGACTGATTTGTCTACTGAGGGGCATCTGGGTTGGTTCCATATCTTAGCTATGATAAATAATACTGCAATAAACATAGTCGTGCTGGTAGCTTTAGTATTGTCTTGTTTGTGATCATTTGGGTAAATACCCAAAAGTGGGATAGCTGGGTCATAGGGGAGCTCTATGTGGAGTCTTTTGAGGAACCTCCATACTACTTTCCAAAGTGGTTGAACAAGTTTACATTCCCACCAACAATGCAGTAGGGTTCCCTTCTGTACACATCCCCTCCAGCATCTGTTGATATTAGAGTTCTTGATTATAGTCATTCTAACTGGGGTGAGGTGGTATCTCTGTGTTGTTTTGATTTACATTTCTTTTATGGCTAGAGAGGTTGAGCATTTCTTCATGTGTCTATTGGCCATCCTTCTTTCTTCTTCAGAGAAGTTTCTCTTTAAGTCTTTAGCCCACTTATTTATTGGGCAGTTGTTTCTTTGAGGATTTGGTATCCCATTTCTATTGAAGAGATATTTTTCCCTTTCCAAGGCAGTTAACTTGCAGTTGCATTTCTGTTCATGTCAGATGGGTTACTGTTCTTTTAGTCAATTGTGTCTCTTAATGGAATGACACTGTCTTAATTACTTTTTCCATATTACAGAAGTTACTGTTAGAGACCTTTCACCTCATTTTCTTTTCCTTTAGGAACACTGGAGCTATTTGTCCGTTGAATCTAAACTTTAGAATTAAGCTGTAAAGTTTCTGGAAAATTGTTCCTTTTTTAAGTCAAATAGGTTTGAAGATAACTAGCATCATTATAATAAATCATTAAATGATTTCTTATCCTTAAGATCATTACATTTTCTCTTTCCTTGAGATTCTCTTTTATATCTATACCATAATAGAAATTGTTTTTCTTTCTTTCTTTTTAGAAACGGGGGTTTGAACTCAGAGCTGTATGTTGCTATTTAG